CTGTGTGGTGAGTCTGTGGGTCTCTGTGTGGTGAGTCTGTGGGTCTCTGTGTGGTGAGTCTGTGGGTCTCTGTGTGGTGAGTCTGTGGGTCTCTGTGGTGAGTCTGTGGGTCTCTGTGTGTGAGTCTGTGGGTCTCTGTGTGGTGAGTCTGTGGGTCTCTGTGGTGAGTCTGTGGGTCTCTGTGGTGAGTCTGTGGGTCTCTGTGTGGTGAGTCTGTGGGTCTCTGTGTGGTGAGTCTGTGGGTCTCTGTGTGTGAGTCTGTGGGTCTCTGTGTGGTGAGTCTGTGGGTCTCTGTGTGGTGAGTCTGTGGGTCTCTGTGTGGTGAGTCTGTGGGTCTCTGTGTGGTGAGTCTGTGGGTCTCTGTGTGGTGAGTCTGTGGGTCTCTGTGTGGTGAGTCTGTGGGTCTCTGTGTGGTGAGTCTGTGGGTCTCTGTGTGGTGAGTCTGTGGGTCTCTGTGTGTGAGTCTGTGGGTCTCTGTGTGGTGAGTCGTGGGTCTCTGTGTGGTGAGTCTGTGGGTCTCTGTGTGGTGAGTCTGTGGGTCTCTGTGTGGTGAGTCTGTGGGTCTCTGTGTGGTGAGTCTGTGGGTCTCTGTGTGGTGAGTCTGTGGGTCTCTGTGTGGTGAGTCTGTGGGTCTCTGTGTGTGAGTCTGTGGGTCTCTGTGTGTGAGTCTGTGGGTCTCTGTGTGGTGAGTCTGTGGGTCTCGTGTGTGAGTCTGTGGGTCTCTGTGTGGTGAGTCTGTGGGTCTCGTGTGTGAGTCTATGGGTCTCTGTGTGGTGAGTCTGTGGGTCTCTGTGTGGTGAGTCTGTGGGTCTCTGTGTGTGAGTCTGTGGGTCTCTGTGTGGTGAGTCTGTGGGTCTCTGGTGAGTCTGTGGGTCTCTGTGTGGTGAGTCTGTGGGTCTCTGTGTGGTGAGTCTGTGGGTCTCTGTGTGTGTGAGTCTGTGGGTCTCTGTGTGTGAGTCTGTGGGTCTCTGTGTGGTGAGTCTGTGGGTCTCTGTGTGGTGCGTCTGTGGGTCATCTGGTGGTGAGTCTGTGGGTCTAGTGTGAGGGGTCTCGTGTGGTAAGTCTGTGGGTCTCTGTGTGGTGATTCTGTGGGTCTCTGTGTGGTGGGTTCTGTGGGGGTCTCTGTGTGATGAGTCTATGGGTCTCTGTGTGATGAGTCTGTGGGTCTCTGTGGATGAGGTCTATGGGCTCTGTGTGGTGAGTCTGTGGGTCTCTGTGTGATGAGTCTGTGGGTCTCTGGTGGTTGAGTCGTGCTGTGGGTCCTCGTGGTGATGAGTGGTCTCTGTGATGAGTTCTGTGGGTCTGTGTGAGTCTGTGGGTCTCTGTGTGGTGAGTCTGTGGGTTCTCTGTGTGGTTGAGTCTGTGGGTCTCGTTTTTGATGAGTCTATGGGTCTCTGTGTGGTGAGTTTGTGGGTCTCTTTGTGGTGAGTCTGTGGCGTCTCAGTGTGAGGTCTGTGGGTCTCTGTGAGTCTGTAAAAGTCTGTGGTTCATCTGTGTGGTGAGTCTGTGGGTCTCTGTTTGACGAGTCTGTGGGTTTCTGTGTGCCGGAGTCTATGGGTCTCGGTGGCCGCTTTTGCGACGGGGTGGAACCGACAGGAAATTCCACATTCCCATGCCGTGCGTTTCTGCCGCAGGCGGGAGTGGAGTGCACCAGTCCCTGGAGGATGAGGAGGAGGATGAGGATGAAGAGGAGGAGGAGGAGGAAGAGGAGGAGGAGCGATCTCAGGGCAGCGTCCGAATGCAGCAGCAGCAGCAGCTGCAGCAGCAGCAGCAGCAGCTGCAGCTTCAGCAGCTTCAGCAGCAACAGCTGCAGCTGCTGACCCCAGAAGGCACGGCAGACGCACCAACTCAGCCCCCTCGGGAAATAAATAAATTATAATCATAACTTAGTATAACTACCACTACTAGTAGGTTCTGTACCACGTTACCATCCACCATCCCCTCTCTAGTAGTAGTGCTACTACTAGTGCTACTGTAATGTTCTTGTAGGGAGACTGAGTCGTCATAGAGGCAACACGGTTTATTATACCGTAACAGTTTACACTTAAACTCTAACACAAAGGGGTAATGTGGCCCCTTTCACCCACAACCTGGGGAGGTACAGCCTCTGGGCTATCGTACCTACAACTCTCCCTACTCCAGCCCTCCGGCTGGCTAGACCTCGGGGAGGCTGACCCACCGCTGGCCCGTCCGGACCCGGCCCTCACAAGGACATCAGGCCGAGGGAACCTCAGGGTCCTAACCTCTTGAACACTGCCACCGCACTGAGCCCCGGCCCTCAGAAGGACGGCGGCGGCTTGGGGTCCAGGGTCTTCTCCAGGCGGCTTCTGGCTTCGGCTTGAGACGGACTGACTCGCTCTCTCAGGGACCCGCCTTATATACTCTCCCTCCCTGAGGGGCGGGGCTCTGGGGGATCGTAGCTTCCCCCAGCCCCCTCCCCTCAGAGGGGTTCTAACCGCCGTTGGCCCGACCGGTCCGGACCGGTTTGTACCGCTCCCCACAGAGGGGCGGGGCTCTGGGGGATTGTAGACACTGCCCACAGCCCCCTCCCTCCCCCAGTGGGTCCCGGCCAGGAATACACAACTATCACAACTATCACAACCATCCCATACCGGTAAGCACCCTGGTTCTGGCACACGTGTGTCAACATGACAACTAGTACTACTACTAGTAGTAGTACTGGTACTACTACTATAGTACTGGTACTACTACTAGTAGTAGTACTGGTACTACTACTAGTAGTAGTACTGGTACTACTACTAGTAGTAGTACCGGTACTACTGTAGGTTTTGTACCATCCACCATCCCCTCTCTAGTAGTAGCACTACTACTTGTAGTAGTAGGCTCTGTACCATGTTCCATGTTCCAATCCACCATCCCATCTTCGTGCTGCCATTCTACGTAATTTCCAAGTTTGTTCTCTCAGCAACGCATCCTGGGCATCAACCCGGCTATGCCTGAATGCTCGTGCGTTGAACTTCGTTTGCACCCTACGTAGCCAACCGTGCTAATAGTCGTTGTTGTTGACGTTGTCATTGCAGACGACTTCCACATCATCCCCTCTGAGCCTCCAAAGAGAAAAGGTAAAAACAAAAAAATCCCGTGCGGGATTTCACAGTCGTGCTGTACAGTGGCGTTATTACTACTGATACATTTATTATTCCACTTGATCGTCCGGGAGACTCTCAAGACCTCGTTGTCAGGAGGAGGCTCCTGCCAAGTGTTGGCAGTAGGAGGTGGCGATGCTGCTGCTGCTGTGAGATCCCAGTCGAGGGGTTTGTTGCAGGGAATTGTTGAGCAGTGGGGTGTGGATGTGGCCGCTTCCAGTTCCACTGTGGGTGTGGGTTTAGCTGTAGGAGGGGAGCGGAGAACCTGGAGGGTGCCATGCAGAGCAGGGGGAGATCACTCACTCACTCACACTCACTCACACACTCACTCACACTCACTCACACTCACACACACTCACTTACACTCACTCACACTCACTCACACACACCACTCACACTCACACACACTCACTTACTTACACTCACTCACACACTCACTCTCACACACACTCACTCACTCACAATCACTCACACTCACTCACACTCACACTCACTCACACACACTCACACACTCACACACACTCACTCACTCACAATCACTCACACTCACTCGCACTCACTCACACTCACTCACAATCACACACACTCACTCACAATCACTCACTCACACTCACTCACACACACACACTCCACAGTATAACAGGGGAAGAACACACACTCACTCATTCACACTCACTCATTCACACTCACTCACACACTCATTCACACTCACTCGATTACTCTCACTCACTCACTGACTCTCACTCACACTCATTCAGACTCACACTCACTCACTCACACTCACTCACACTCACACTCATTCACTCACACTCACTCATTCACACACTCACACTCACTTACAATCACACACACTCACACACACTCACTCACTCACACACACTCACTCTCACTCACACACACTCACTCACACTCACTCACACACTCAATCTCACTCACTCACACTCTCACTCACACTCACTCACTGACTCTCACTCACACACACTCACTCACACTCACACGCACTCAATCTGTATAACAGGGGTAGAGCACTCTCACTCACTCTGTATAACAGGGGTAGAGCACTCACACTCACACACGCACTCACTCTGTATAACAGGGGTAGAGCACTCACACACAAAGACAAAGATCCCTCAAATAGCCTAAACAGACTGCTGGGGCAAGTGCAGTTAGCGAGCAGCACCTATGAAGACCAGCACCACACTCGACTGCCTTGGTCTCCCCAGTGGCGATGTTCACTACACATCGCACCAGGTACTCATTTGAGGCTGAGTCAACCTAGGGGAGGAGGCCCATGACCGGTTCAGATAATCGCCGTCACCGGTGTTGGCCGTGAGTGGGAATTGAACTCGGGTCGCCGGGTTCGTAGCGCAGCGCAACGCTAACCGCTCCGCCACCGCTCCCCATGCAATCATTCACACGCCACACCTTTACCAACATCCGCCATTCTCTGACGGCACCCGTGCCAAGCTAGGTGCACTTTGAGGCTGTCACGTGAAGTGTCGCTGCAGGCGGCAGGTCACGGGACAGACCCAGCAGATGCCGTGGGTCGACTGAGTGAGATGACCGGCAGATGCACCACCTGTGCCCCCCCTACTGTGCCCCCGTGTAGCATTAACATGAAGGCCGGCACGGCACACGAGGGGGTGGGTGGCCAGCACCACGCCCGTCCGCCTTTGTCTTCCCAGTGGCGACGTTTACTACACACTGTACACAACCACCACCACACTGTATTTAACCACCATCACACCAACTCACCCAGCCCACACTGTGTTTAACCACCATCACACCAACTCACCCAGCCCACACTGTTTAACCACCATCACACCGACTACAACAACACCGACTCACCCACCCCACACTGTGTTTAACCACCACCACACCAACTCACCCACCCCACACTGTGTTTAACCACCACCACACCAACTCACCCACCCCACACTGTGTTTAACCACCACCAAACCAACTCACTCACCACACACTGTGTTTAACCACCACCACACCAACTCACCACACACTGTGTTTAACCACCATCACACCGACTACAACAACACCGACTCACCCACCCCACACTGCTGGGTCACATCACGGTTTATCCCCTCGTCCCTCCGTCCCTCGCTGTGCTCCACGTTTCTAAATCTCTCCCCTCTCCCCGTCACCACCACCACCGTCACCACCCTCGCCACCACCCCCGTCACCACCTCCGTCACCACCATCCTCACCACCACCCCCGTCACCACCACCACCCTCACCACCCTCGCCACCACCCCCGTCACCACCACCGTCACCACCCTCGCCACCACCCCCGTCACCACCTCCGTCACCACCATCCTCACCACCACCCCCGTCACCACCACCACCCTCACCACCCTCGCCACCACCCCCGTCACCACCACCGTCACCACCCTCGCCACCACCCCCGTCACCACCTCCGTCACCACCATCCTCACCACCACCCCCGTCACCACCCTCGCCACCACCCCCGTCACCACCACCGTCACCACCCTCGCCACCACCCCCGTCACCACCTCCGTCACCACCATCCTCACCACCACCCCCGTCACCACCACCACCCTCACCACCCTCGCCACCACCCCCGTCACCACCACCGTCACCACCCTCGCCACCACCCCCGCCACCACCACCGTCACCGCCACCACCCCCGTCACCACCTCCGTCACCACCACCACCTCCGTCACCGCCACCACCCCCGTCACCACCGTCGCCGTCACCACCACCACCTCCGTCACCGCCACTACCTCCGTCACCGCCACCACCCCCGTCACCACCTCCGCCACCACCACCTCCGTCACCGCCACCACCCCCGTCACCACCGTCGCCGTCACCACCACCACCTCCGTCACTGCCACCACCACCGTCGCCACCACCACCGTCGCCACCACCACCTCCGCCACCACCACCGCCGTCACCACCACCACCTCCGTCACCACCTCCGTCACCGCCACCACCCCCGTCACCACCTCCGCCACCACCACCTCCGTCACCACCACCACCTCCGTCACCACCGTCGCCGTCACCACCACCACCTCCGTCACTGCCACCACCACCGTCGCCACCACCACCGTCGCCACCACCACCTCCGCCACCACCACCGCCGTCACCACCACCGCCGTCACCACCACCACCCTCACCACCACCACCTCCGTCACCACCACCACCACTTCCGCCACCACCCTCACCACCACTCTCGCCAGGCATCGCGGTCCACCGCTCCCAGCCGCGCGGCTCGGCCCTCAAGAAGTTCCTGTGCCAGGACTGCGGCAAGGGCTTCCGGCAGGCGACGGACCTGGTGCGCCACCGCAGCCTGCACACGGGCGAGCGCAACGCGCTGTGCGGCGTCTGCGGCAAGGGCTTCGCGCTGGCCAGCGACCTGGCGCGCCACGGGCGCACGCACGACCCCGCCGGCGAGCGCTTCCCCTGCTCCGAGTGCGGCAAACTCTTCGGCTGCCGCCGCTCGGCGCTGCTCCACGAGTCGGCGCACTCGCGGCCGCCGCCGCAGCGGAGCCGGAGAGGAGGAGGGGGAGGAGGAGGAGGAGGGGGAGGGAGGCCGCAGCAACTGCAGGAGGAGGAGGGCAGACGCCGCTTGGCGAGGGCCAGGAAGCGCGACGCCGCCACCAACTCGGCCGTCGCCGCGGCGACCGCCGCTCTGCGCCTGCAGCCCGCGTAGTGGTAGCCCCCCCCCTCCTGCTCCTCCCATTCCGAGGCGGAGGAGGCGGAGGAGGTGGGCAGAGATGACGGCTCCACCGTCGCCCCGGGGCCAACTCGGCCTGCGGCCTTCGTAGTCGTGCCGTGGACGATCGGACGCTCAGGGTCTCCTCCAAGAGGAGGAGGAGGTGGAGGAGGCTGACCACGGTTGGCGAGGGGCCAGCGAGCGCGACGGCTCCACCGCCGTGGCGGCCAACTTGGCCGTCACCGCCGCTTTGCGCCCGAAGCCTGCGTAGGAGGCCTCAGCTCGGGCGTGGACGCCGTGGTGGGTCGGGGCCTACAGGAGGAGGAGGATGAGGGCAGGCGACGGCTCCCCCGTCGCCGCAGCCAACTCGGCCTGCAGCTTGCCTAGGCGGCCCCCGGTCCGTCGTGCCGTGGATGGGCTGGACGGTCGCGGGCCCTACGGATTTTGGCGCGGTCGGGCTACGTATGTACGTACGGTGCGAAAGAAGTTGGACGTACGGGGGGGGCCTAGCAAAGGCTGCGGGGGTTGCCCTCGCAAAGATTCTCCGTGGAGACTCGGACGGACTGCCTGGTGCTGCGAGGGACGAGCGATCCCTGCCTCGGTCGCCCCTCCGCCAACCCCTTAGTGGACGCGAGGCCGACCCCGCCCACTCGTGTTCAAGGTTGTGTTGGGCCGAGGTTCCAGGGCCCGGGTCGATACGGCCGGCCGTGAAAGCCGGGCGGGCGGGCGGACGCCAACCGCTAAGTCGTTCGTCGAAGTTGGGGAGACGGGACGTTTAAATTAGCGAAAGCTGCTTTTATCGTCGGCTCAACTAGGCCTCGGCAAGGCAAGGTAATTTACCCTTTTTACCGGTAAAAAGGTACAGGGTAAAGGTGTCGACATGCCAAGGGGTAAGGTAAAGGGTACAGGGTAAAGGTAGCTCGGAAGAATTACCCAGTAGGGTAAAGATAGCGCGAAGTATTACCTGGTAAATACGGTGCCTTGTTTACCGCTAGAAGCTCCGTGGAGCAGTCCGTGGCCTACATTTAAAAAGTAATATTTAAACAAACTTTATTAAAAACACGCTTTTATTAAATGTACTAGTAATGGCAGAACTCCACGACTCCAGGAAGTGGCCCCGAAGCTTGCCATAACGTAAGGGACCGTGGCCAATTACAGCCAACGTCAGTTGAGCGTGGACAATTAGACCCAAGCCGAAACATAACATCTAAAAAATAATGTTAAAAAATATATAGATTTTATGATAGAATATAGTCTTGTCATCAGTATGACCTAAGTATACCAAGTTTGCAGTCGATACTATATTAGAAAGTGGGTAAAAATTGAGTTTTAAGATTTGAGGATACAACAATAACGACAGAGTGAGTTAAAAGAAAGCGTGTAAAATTTTAATAATCTAGAGTATTCTATATGAATAAAGCGCTCTGCTTAGCATTTACCGTTATAAACCTTGTTTATGTGTAGTAGTTCCCTAGTAATTACCCTGTAATCGGGTAATTTGTATAGGGTAAGGGTAAAAGGTAGGGTAGAGTGATTGTATTGTGGTAAGGTAAAGGGTAGGGTAAAGGTAGACTTGTTGTTTTTACTTTTTAACTTTTACCTTGCCGAGGCCTAGGCTCAACGACGTTTCGATTCTTGGTAACGCTTTCCCTGGGGGTGATTTTTCGTTAAAAAAAATAATAATTGGAGAGAGAAAAGACGCGGCTTGTAGTGGCCCTGTTCCTGAAGGCCTCCGCCCGCGTTCGGGAAGAATCGTGTTACAATAAACAATCTAACGGCAGCAGACCCTCGATCGTCTGCGCTAACGACGGCCGCGGATAATCCAACAGTGTTCATTTCTCGCGGATGTCTATGCCAAAAATCAATCACGAGTTTAGAAAATGGAGTTGGTTCATGAACAAAACTACAATTTGTAACAATTAATGTATCCATCTTGTTTTATTGCAAAAGTCAATTTCGATTCGGGGGCGACCAATCAGAAGACTCCGCCCACTGAGTGGATGACAGCAGAACCACAGCCAATCAGCATCAATCAAACTCTGCCCCACTGGATGACAGAGCCACAGCCAATCAACATCAATCAAACTCCGCCCCACTGTTGTAAAGATATGGCAACTACTGTACTGTAGAGGCGATCATGTGGATTTGGTATTAACCGGAACGTATTTGTTGGGTTGAAGCACCGTTTGACTCGTAGTAAATATTCCCAAGAATTGCAATGTGCGGCAGCTTTTTAAATTATTAAGTAATGGGCTGAAGGGAAAATCCACGAGTTGTTACTAATACCGTCAAATTGTGAGGTGCGCGGTTAATCCGCAAGTCGTATGAACCGCACGCGGATGATCGAGGGTCTGCCGTGCAGGGCAAAAGCGCGGTCCTCGATAACACCGCGAGATGCTACACGTCGGGCCGAACAGAGGCAGCAGCATCAAGAAGAATCCAGCAGCATCCCAATGCCGCCTTGTGCGACGACGGTGGTGATGATGCTACGCCGATGGTGGTGATGCTACGCCGGTGGTGATGCTACGCCGAGGCAGCCGCCCTGCAACCACTGCTGTGTTCCGACTGGCGCGCGACGTAGTTCCGTTCAACTCGGATCGCGCGACAGATCCAATTCACATCCGCGGTACAAAAACAGCGTTCCCGCATTACATCCATCGCGCCTTGTCCAATTCGCGTTGTGAAGACGACACACACGGCGTTAGAGCAGAATAGACTGCAAACGACCAAAAGTAGATGATTCTAAATAAAGTTTTTTTTGTGTTCGATGGCTTTAGTCTAAATGTCGTGTCGTTAACCCTCCATTGCCAAGCCAATTCGTGAGGTTGTCACGTGAACCAGACGTGGCAATCGGTGACTGCAACAACCACCGCTGTTGGAGAGTAAAACCCACGGCAACCTTTGCAGTTGCAAAGGTTGTGGGTTAACATTTAGAAAAAGGATACCCGAAATAGTTTTTTTTTTATCTGTTAACGAGTTTAAAGGATTCATATTTTTGGTTCTTTCGGTAAAGTCACGTAGAAGGGAAAAAATTTAATAAAAAATAAAATTCTCACGTTTCGATTGCAGCACAAGCAATCATCAAGTGTGAAAACCACAGCAATAATTTCTTATAATTTTCTTGCTGTGGTTTTCACACCTGATGATGATTGCTTGTGTTGCAATCGAAACGTCGTGATAATGTTGTTTTATTTTTATTGTTTTGCCTTTACGCGACTTTACCGAAAGAGCTGAGAATATGATTCCCTGCAGTCACGAAAGCTTTAAATCGGAGTTTAAAGGAGTAATAAAAGTGAGGTTTGAGGCCTGGTGCGAGGTGCAACTGGGGCAAGATGTTGACTCCCTCGCCTGGTCTACAGGAGGTCGTGGGTTACATCCAGACCCGCTGACGCCTGCTGCTGTATATTTGGAGTTTACGTGTCTCTCTCATCATCATCACAGTGGCAAGATGTTAACTACCTCGCCTGGTCTACGGGAGGTCGTGGGTTTGATCCCAACTGCTGTATGTTTGGAGTTTGCGGTGTCTCTCATCACAGTGGCTAGGAGATGTTAACTACCTCGCCTGGACTACGGGAGGTCGTGGGTTTGATCCCAACTGCTGTATGTTTGGCGTTTGTCTCTCTCTCCGTGGTCGTCCTGTGGATTTTTCTCTAGGTCCCCCCGGTTTTTGCCTTCCACTTTGAAATCGACTTCACGCATTTCGAGTATTTGGCTGCGGCAATACATCTCCACGTGACGATGACGACAATAGCTCAGTGGGGCCCTTACCTGCTAAATCGTCACCGTAAAAGGGGAGTTGGGGACTTTGCCCAGATGTCCAATTTCACCTCGAAATCGGTGATTTTCCCGGCCGCCTTCAATGGAGGCAGCAATGCAAACTCCCTCGCCGGTTTCCACTCCATGGCTTGTAGGGCATCTGTACGTAAAGTATATTTTACTGGTAGGAACCTCCTGGTTTACACCAGCCCACAGGGGATTGTGTCCGTCCGTCGTGCATCCAAAATTGGGAGGTGGGGCTGGGTGGAGGGGAGGGTGGGGAGGGGAGGGTGGGGAGGGGCTGGGTGGGGAGGGGAGGGGCTGGGTGGGGAGGGGAGGGGCTGGGTGGGGAGGGTGGGGGCTGGGTGGGGAGGGGGGGGGGGGGGAGGGGAGTGGCTGGGTGGGGAGGGGCTGGTCACCCCGTGGTGCCCTTATAAAACTCAACGTTTAACCTACTCACGCCGGCTTGTGCCCGCCCTCAGTCAGGCATATTTGCGGAATACACCACGCCGCCGTTGACCCTGGCCATTGACCGAGCAACCGAACGTTCCTACCAGCTCCCTCCGCAGGAATGTGTTTATCATCACGTGGGCATTAAACGTGTGATGTTGATTCTAAACGTGGACGGAAAAATCGGAGGGACCTGGAGAAAAATCGACACGACCACGGGGAGGGAGAGAGAGACACGCAAACTCCAAATATACAGCAGCAGCAGGCATCATCGTCAGGGTCGGGATCGAACCCACGACATCCTGTATACCAGGCGAGGGAGTTGACATCTCCTGGCCACCACGGCACACACGTACACGCGTAGGGACGCTGGACTTCTTCCACGCCATACGTAGCCGGCCGCGTTGTGCAGACGGAAACCCGCGGTGGGTGCACGGCGGCGCGCGGCATTTTATTCCCTCACTTTTTCTTCTCCAAAACGTTGCGAATCACCGTGTTGTCAAATTTATTCTCCCCCCCCACCCCCTCAGTTCCCGACTCCGTCGTGTGGCGAACGTCGCGGCGCAACGACGTCCGTGCGTTCATTTTTTGTTGTCGTTACGTTCCAATCCCCCCTCCGTGCCCGCTCCTGGACACATCGGTTTTCAATATTCTGGTTACGATTCTGGGCCACCACCGTTGTCCCAGGACACGGCCACGGGTGTTTTTTTTCCCGCTGGCACATCCAGTGCCTGGCCCTGGGCATGGCAACGGGTGTTTTATTTCCTCCTCGACTTGCACAATCCGGAGCCAAGCCAGTGCCAAGGGGCTCGGCACGGCACTGGTGGTTTTTCGACTGGCACATCAGAGCCGTGCCAGTGCCTGGGCCTGGCCCAGCACGGGTGGTTTTTCTACTGACACATCAGAACCGTGCCAGTTCCTGGGCCTGGCCTAGCACGGGTGGTTTTTCTACTGACACAGAACCGTGCCAGTGCCTGGGCCTGGCCCAGCACTGGCACATCAGAGCCGTGCCAGTGCCTGGGCCTTGCCCAGCACGGGTGGTTTTTCGACTGACACATCAGAGCCGTGCCAGTGCCTGGGCCAGCACGGGTGGTTTTTCGACTGACACATCAGAGCCGTGCCAGTGCCTGGCCCTGGCCCAGTGGCTTTCCCCACTGGGCGATTTGCCGATCAAGAGTCGGAACCAAACCTCTGGCTGCGACGCCGCCGGCCTCGCGAGCCGGACGTCCGAATCTGGATCGGGGGGGGGGGGGGGCAAGCAGGGCCAGGGGGTGGCGTCGAATCGACGGGTTCACCTGCGTGCCGATGTCGGTTGTGGCTCACCAGAGGAATGTGGAATTCCCACGGCTGGCTGAGGGACTCTGACACAGGAAAGTGAGTGGCCTCTCACCCCTCCCCACCACTCCGCTGGCCGATCCTTTAGTGGCTTCCAATCTTCGAGCCGAAAAGGCCGCACACTCTGAAGTGGGTGGTTCCTTAAACTTGACGGCAGCCTTGCACCCCCCCCCCCCCCCTTTGATTCCCAATCGTTAACAATGTACGATGTTAATAAACTCGTCGGGTTTTACGAAAACAAACTTGTTACTTAATGTGCCCCGTGGCTTCATTTGTATTTTCGATGATCGCCGCCCCCCCCCCCCCCCCAGAAAGGGCATCACGCACCCCCAGGGGATGCCCGACGCAGCCCCCAGGGCTCCAGGCCAAGAAGAAGAAGAACCGCTGCCTTTAAGTTGTCCACGAGCATCAGTTGAGCGTCACCGCCCAAGCCTCGCGAAGCCAACGGGACGGACGTGCGCACGCCAGACGACTCCCCCCACCACCATCGCCGCCCCGGGGGGACACCAAGAATCGACTCGCGTGGAAACGTCGGGTTTGATTACTTGCGGATGTATTAAAAAAAAAACAAAGCCGCGTTACATTCATATATCGCGTTACACGGCTTAGAGAGACCGCAACGGAGACACGTCGAACAACGGAACGAGAGCGCCCCCCCCCCCCCACCCCCGTATGCACATTCGTGCGGCTCAACTTCTCTCTGGCGCCGTGCGCGTTCGCCGACCTCGCATCATCGGAGGTGTGGCAGGGGATAGGACAAGAAACTAAACGCGACAAAAAAAAGGAGTTTTCTTTCGTATGGCAAAAGCAACAGTTGTTTTCTTGCTTAATGATGATCAACTGAATGCAAAGGGTTCCTCATTCAGTCCAGCGAGGTGGTTGACGCAGTGCGGATTTCAGCGACACCGCCAGGATGTGCATGGATGGAGCATTCATCGGTGATGTGCTCGATGGATTGGACTTCTCCAGTCGCAGCGGGGCGATTCTTCGATCTTCCTTTTGACGAAACGTCGACACGCATCTGCCGTGCCGTGTACGTACGGGCGCGGTCCACAGCGTGGTCCACGGTCGTCGTGGAAGAGAGAGAATCTCGGTACTTCCACCGTCCGATCTTGAATTATGTTGTTTTGCCCATGTCTAGAGCTGCCCACGATTCACACCACCTAGTGGCGGCATCTTCAACTTCGGCTGCTCGAGCCGAGCCGTGCATCCAGAACAGTTCCCTGGATGTTATCCTTGGGCGTGGGGGGTCCTTGAGATCGGGGGTGGGAAACGTCCGGCCTGCGGGCCGTACGAGGCCCACGGGATCACTTGGTGTGGCCCTACCAAGGCAACCGCAGGCGGGACTCGAAATTCAATAAATCTCGGAGCAAACCTGGAAAAGCGGTTGCGAGTAGCAGCAACATCATCATCAACACCAGCTAACATCACCACACGCCTCGCCAAAGAGAAGCAGTTCCAGCCATCACATTAGGGGCGAGTTAATTAAATGTTTGACCAAATATAACGGGCTGATTTTTAAGTTGATAATTTTGTATGGCCCGCGAATGATGTTATAGATATCCTAAAGAGAAAAAGTCCCCTACCCCCCCCCTGTTTTAGGGACATGGTCAAATTCTTCATTATCTTGCTGAACTCCCGTGTCGTCGCATCATTGCGCCGGATGTTGGCCGGAGCGATGTCCACCAGCACGGGAAGCCACGGCAGTGGAGGAGACGCGAGGCAATCGCCGACGACGAGGTTCTTGCGAGGGCTGTGCCCCCCGCAGCGAGGGCTGTGCCCCCCACAGCGAGGTTCTTGCGAGGGCTGTGCCCTCCGCAGCGAGGTTCTTGCGAGGGCTGTGCCCTCCGCAGCGAAGTTCTTGCGAGGGCTGTGCCCTCGCAAGAACCTCGAGAGACGGGAGCAACTCCGCTGCTTGCCGACGGAGAGACGCACAACAGATCCTGTCATGGCCACGGGGGGGGGGGGGGGGGGGGTTGGTGGATCACCGGCAGATGGGATGCGAAAGTCCCCTCCCTCCCCTTCCCCATATCCCCCCCCCTGGCCCTGCCGGGGAGGCTGCGGCAATAGGAGATACAGCGTTGCTCCTTCTCACACACGATGGTCGCGCGCGTGGGTTTACACCGAGCTCCGACAGGTTTTCCTTCCGCACATACAAACACTCCTCAATCGACTCGACACATCTCAACATGTACAGGGACTCCTCTACTTATGAACATTCGACGTACGAACTTTGATAGATACGAACAAACCTGTCCCATATGTCCAGTGGCCTGTTTGGAGCGAGAGTCTCAAGTTCAACCGCTGGTCAATAGATGGCAGTGGTGGCATCTACATCTGCAGAACGTAAAGAACCAGTGGCATCTACATCTGCAGAACGTGAAGAACCAGTGAAGAACCAGTGGCATCTACATCTGCAGAACGTGAAGAACCAGTGGCATCTACATCTGCAGAACGTGAAGAACCAGTGGCATCTACATCTGCAGAACGTGAGGAACCAGTGGCATCTACATCTGCAGAACGTGAAGAACTAGTGACATCTGCAGAATGTGAAGAACCAGTGGCATCTACATCTACAGAGCGTGAAGAACCAGTGGCATCTACATCTCCAGAACGTGAAGAACCAGTGGCATCTACATCTGCAGAGCGTGAAGAACCAGTGGCATCTACATCTGCAGAGCGTGAAGAACCAGTGGCATCTACATTTGCAGAACGTGAAGAACCAGTGGCATCTACATCTGCAGAACGCGAAGAACCAGTGGCATCTCCATCTGCAGAACGTGAAGAACCAGTGGCATCTACATCTGCAGAACGTGAAGTACCCGTGGCATCTACATCTGCAGAACGTCAAGAACCAGTGACATCTACATCTGCAGAACGTGAAGAACCAGTGGCATCTACATCTGCAGAGCGTGAAGAACCAGTGGGATCTACATCTCCAGAACGTGAAGAACCAGTGGCATCTACATCTGCAGAGCGTGAAGAACCAGTGGCATCTACATTTGCAGAACGTGAAGAACCAGTGGCATCTACATCTGCAGAACGCGAAGAACCAGTGGCATCTCCATTTGCAGAACGTGAAGAACCAGTGGCATCTACATCTGCAGAACGTGAAGTACCCGTGGCATCTACATTTGCAGAACGTGAAGAACCAGTGGCATCTACATCTGCAGAACGTGAAGAACCAGTGGCATCTACATCTGCAGAACGTGAAGAACCAGTGGCATCTACATCTGCAGAACGTGAAGAACCAGTGGCATCTACATCTGCAAAACGTGAAGAACCAGTGGCATCCACATCTGCAGAACGTTAAGAACCAGTGGCATCTACATCTGCAGAACGTAAAGAACCAGTGATATCTACATCTGCAACACGTGAAGAACCAGTGGCATCTACATCTGCAGAACGTGAAGAACCAGTGGCATCTACATCTGCAACACGTGAAGAACCAGTGGCATCTACATCTACAAAACGTGAGGAACCAGTGACATCTACATCTGCAGAACGTGAAGAACCAGTGGCATCTACATCTGCAACACGTGAAGAACCAGTGGCATCTATATCTACAGAACGTGAAGAACCAGTGGCATCTACATCTGTAGAACGTGAAGAACCAGTGGCATCTACATCTGCAGAACGTGAAGAACCAGTGGCAACTACAGAACGTGAAGAACCAGTGGCATATTTGCAGAATTTGAAGAACCAGCAACATCTACATCTGCAGAGCGTAAAGAACCAGTGGCATCAACATCTGCAGAACGTGAAGAACCAGTGGCATCTACATCTGCAGAATGTGAAGAACCAGTGGCATCTACAGAACGTTAAGAACCAGTGGCATCTACATCTACAGAACGTTAAGAATCAGTGGCATCTACATCTGCAGAACGTAAAGAATCAGTGGCATCTACATCTGCAGAACATGAAGAACCAGTGGCATCTACATCTGCAGAACGTGAAGAACCAGTGGCGTCTACAGGAGATTGTGCAACTTTTAAAGCCATTTCCCATGTTTAGTGTACACGCCGTACAGCACGTTTGGGTTCGACAGCAGTGAAGGCTTAAGAACACATCGACTTACGAACAGACCTCTGGAACCCAACTCGTTCGTACGTAGAGGAGTCCCTGTATACAAGACACCGCCAGAACTTGGGCAATTGCTGTGGCTGCCTTTCAGCTCCATCTGTGGTTAATCCACGCATTAATGGGGGGGTCGGCGAGGGGGGGGGGGGCGGGGGAGCGGGGAACGCCTCCATCCCTCACAGCCGACGACAGTAGGGGAATAAAATCATAGGCGGGGGGGGGGGGGGGGAACCAGAAACCCCCCAAGGAGAGCGCCGAGGAATTGCGAACGTCGAGACTTAGAACCGTGGCAGACACAAATTAAAAGCTTCTGTACAACAACAAAAACAACGGCGACACACGGAGGAGAGAGAGGGGGGGGGGTAACAAACCCCCAGGATACAAAAAAAATTGTTCGGCGGATCCTGAATGGCGCCGTCGGCGGCGGTGCGGTCCGCCTCATTCCCTGCCGAGGCTTGCGTTGTTCTTCAACTTCACTCTGGAAGGTCTCGCCGGCCAGTCTCAGCACCTCGTTGCGAGGAGGGGTCCTGCCAGGTGGTGGCAGCAGAGGGGGGTGGTGGCGATGCTGCTGCTGCCACCGAGTGGTCTCCCCTAGGGGCACCAAAACTTTACAAACTTGTGGCCAAACCGAGAGCACCACAACGCCAAGTCGGGACCGACCGTGTTGCATCACCGGATATCGGCACCGTGGCAAACCGCATCGCGCACGGCTCCCTCCACGTTCGTCCCGGCAAAACCATCCAGCCACCGCCACCGGCTCCGGCGTCACCGGGGCCGAAATCCGGCCGGGCTCACCGCGGCCAATCTGGCCTCACCGGACCGATCCGGTTCATCGTGCCGAACCGGCTCCACCCCCCCCGCGTCAGTTGAACACGTTCACTCCAGCCGCGACCGCCGCCAGCCCCTCCTGGAAGAGGACGGTCGAGAGTTTGACGTCCATGGCGGTCGCCGGCGCCGCCGGCGCCGTAAGCACGCTGACGGCGCGGCCCGGGTACGGCTGCATGCCGGGCGCAGTCACCACAGCGGTAGCCCCTCGCCGCCCACGCCGCCGATGCCGCCGATGCCCCCGCCGATGCCGTAACCGCCCACGCCGCCGCCACCTCCGGCCACCTTCACGCCGCCATAGGCCAGGACTCCGCCGCCGCCGCCGCCACCGTCGGCGCCGCCCGACCACAGCAGCTTCCTGCTGCCGATGCCGCCGCCGCCGCTGCCGACGATGTTGCCGCTGCTCATGCCGTGGCTGTGGCCGTGGCCGATGTTGCCGCCGCCGATGTGGCTACCGCCGATGTGGCCGATGTTGCCGCCGATAATGTTGCCGCCACCGATAATGTTGCCGCCACCGCCGCCGATGTGGCTACTACCGATGTGGCTACTACCGATGTGGCCGATGTTGCCGCCACCGCTGCTGATGTGGCCGATGTTGCCGCCGATGTGGCCGCCGCCTATGTGGCCCATGTTGCCGGCAACAATGTTGCCGCCGCCAATGTGGCCGATGTTGCCGCCGCCGATGTGGCTACCGCCGATGTGGCCAATGTTGCCACCGACGATGTTGCCACCGACGATGTTGCCACCACCGATGTGACCGATGTTGCCGCCGGCATTGCCGCCACCGCCGCCACCCACGTGGCATCCGCCCCCGGCGTTACCTCCGCCGCCGCCGCTCGCGACGGCATCCTCGCCCAGCAGCACCCTGCGCCCGCCGCCGCCGCCACCGGCGCCGCCGCCGCCACCCGCCAGGTGCGTGTGCACGTGCTTGCGCAGGTGGTCCGAGCGCGTGAAGGCGACGCCGCACATCTCGCACGCGAACGGCCGCTCGCCGGTGTGCGTGCGCACGTGGTTGGCGAGCGTGCCCGCCTGGAAGAAGCCGGCGCCGCACGTGCCGCACACGTGCCGCCGCTCGCGCTCCGCCGCGTGCGTCTTGCGGTGGATGCTGACGGCCGCGGCCGTCGCGAAGGCCTTCCCGCAGGCGCCGCAGGGGTGGGGCCGCAGGCCGCCGGCGTGCCTCCGCTGGCGGTGCTCCAGGAGCCCGTGCTTGGACTTGTAGGTCTTGCCGCACTCCTCGCACTGGAAGGGCCTCAGGCCCAGGTGCACGTGGTTCACGTGCGCCCGGAGGCTCGCCATCCAGCCGAAGCTCTTGCCGCAGCCGTCGCAGCCGAAGGGCCTCTCGCCGCGGTGCACCGTCTGGTGGGTGCTCAGGTAGGCCTTGGAGCGGAAGCCCTTGCCGCACGTGCCGCAGCCGAAGGGCTCCGAGCCGCGGGCCGCGTGCGCCGTCTGGCGGTGCTTGGCGATGCCGTGGGGCCAGCGGAAGGTCTTGGAGCAGAGGTCGCAGGCGTAGCTGGGCCGCTGGGGGGCGTGCACCACGGCGTGGCGCCGCAGGTCGGCGGGCAGCGCGAAGCCCTTGCCGCACTCGCCGCAGCGCAGCGGGCGCTCGCCCGTGTGCAGCGAGCGGTGCCGCAGCAGGTGGGTGGACTGGCGGAAGGCCTTGCCGCACTGCGGGCAGGCGTAGCGCTTGGCCTGGCCGCGGCGCGGAGCCTTCGCGGCGGCGCCGGCGGCGGCGGCGCCGGCGGGGGGCGGGACGTGCGACGACGGCGGAGAGGAGGAGGGGGGCGACGACGACGACGACGGCGGGAGGGGGGGCGGCTCGTCGCCGCGCGGCCCTTCGAGGCCGAGCGTCTTCGTGGGGTCTGTCGAGGCAGAGGGGGGGAGCGGGGAGGCGGGGGCGGCGTTGGTTAGGAACGTTGAGTGCCCGGTGTTAAACCGAATGCGGCGAGACCACACGGCAGCAGCGGCAGCAGCAGCATCGCCACCCCCTACTGGCAGACTGATGCCACAATCATTTTCGTGGTAGCAGCGGTGGCGGTAGTGTCGGTGGTAGCAGCGGTAACGGCGGAAGTGGTGGTGGCGGTGGCTGTGGTGGCGGCAATGGTTGTTGTAGCGGCGGTGGCAGTGGTAGCGGCGGTGGTAGTGGTGGTAGCGGCGGTAACTGTGGTGGCTGTGGTAGTGGTGGTAGCGGTGGTGACTGAGGTAGTGGTGGTAACTGTGGTAGTGGTGGTAGCCGTGGTGACTGAGGTAGCGGCGGTGGTGGAATTCCGGTGCGGTTCAACCGCCGGTATCGAGCGTGACCACCACCCAGCATCTGCTGCCCCCCCGCCCCCCGCCCCCGCCCCCCCCCCCAGGCTACCTTCCATCTTGACCTCGACGCCGGCCTCCCCCCCGTCGAGCCGCTCCTGCTTCACCGCCTGCGTCACAGCGCCGTCGCCTGCAGGGACGCAAGCGGGGAGGGGGGCGGCCGAGGGTTGCCGAACACAAAATACGTTACGAGGTCGCACTCGTCACACGCACAAAGCGATCATCATCATGATCAAGCAATCATCATCATGATCATCATGATGATGATTGCTTGTGTTGCAATCGAAACGTCGTGAGAATTTTATTATTTTATTTTTATTATTGTATTATTTCCCTTCTACGTGACTTTAACGAAAAAGCCAAGAATATTCTCTGGCCGCGTGTGGTGACGGCTACCGCAAGATCCCACCGTGTCCGTCCGGTGCTCGCAGAGCCACGTTGGCTTCCCGGTTTTGCCAAACGGATACGCTACAAGCTCGCACCAGGCACACACAAAGTGGCTTGCTGCTAATGAACCGCTACACCTCGCCGCCGATTTCAACGAGGAGCCATAAACCGTCATCACGCGGTCGCCCTCGGAGCAGCGGCTTTTTGTTCGCCGTCGAACCCAGACGGTGGTGGTCGCTGCATCGTCGCGAGGCCGTCTGGAACGCTCATTCCTTCCGATATTCGGAAGCCGCCGGGAGCCACGCACTATCAAATCATGTACATTGACAACTAATTTATTTAGAACGACTTTATGTGTCTAGTTTCCTTCCCCCCGCACCTCCGATTAGCACGGTTGGACAATGCACGGCGCTGCGAAAGAAGTTCAACGTACACACGCACGCACGTGCTGTCAAGTGTTCTTGCAGTAGGCGGTGGCAATGTTGAGGAGTTTGTTGCAGGGAATTGTTGAGCAGTGGGGGATGTGGTTGCAGTCGATACCAGTTCCACTGTGGGTTTAGCTATGGGAGGGGAGCGGAGACCCCGGAGGGAAACCCATGCAGACCAGGGGGATCACTCACTCACTCTGTAGAACAGGGGTAGATCACACAAACTCCACTCACTCACTCTGTAGAACAGGGGTAGAAAACACAAACTCCACTCACTCACTCTGTAGAACAGGGGTAGATCACACAAACTCCACTCACTCTGTAGAACAGGGGTAGATCACACAAACTCCACTCACTCACTCTGTAGAACAGGGGTAGAGCACACAAACTCCACTCACTCACTCTGTAGAACAGGGGTAGAACACACAAACTCCACTAACTCACTCTGTAGAACAGAGGTAGAACTGTGATGCCGCCGCCGCGAAGCCGTTCGGCAGGCACCAAATCCCCGACCTCGCCACCACCAAGCAACGGAGCCGACCCCGCGTCCCCCTCACCTCACCTCACATGAACACACCCGCACTCATTTCCCCCCCCCCATAGAGCTCCGAGGGGAGGTCGCCTGGCCGACCGGTTTTTATCCGAGAGACCCTTATCGGGATTAATTCTCACGGTTTCCGGCGATCAGGGAATTGGATGACCTCCCCGTGCTACGTGGCACCGCGGCCGGCCTTAATATGGTGTGGTCGCGGCGTGGGGCATTCGGCCACCGCGGTTGAGGCGCATTTCCCCCCACACACACCCCCACGGGTCGACGGGGCAAGCAGGGGAGGCACGGGACAGCATGAATAGCGGGATCACAGGGGCTGTTGCGCATAGTCATGGAGGGTTGGGATAATTGCGCTTGAGCGCGCAGGCCCCATTGTTAGGGAGGGTAAGGGATTAATTAGGATTTACGCCTTGCACGCAGCACACTGATTAGCATATCAACAGCGCCCAGAACCGCCGTGCGCGTGCCAGAGGATCGCGAGCCCATTGTTCAGCGCAGCATCCCCTTTGAGGTAGGGAGGATAAATAGAGGGGCGCAGAGGGGAAATAGCTCTCTTCTCTCCAGGCCAGCAGACCAGCAGCAGCTCCAGCCAGCGACCCGGACGTCCGTGAGACGCATCGAGGTACGTTGTTAGCGCAGGGAGCAGCGAACCTCCGCGGGCGCCAAACAGTGAGTGGGGAGGTGAAGTAGGATAATAGTCGATAAATAGGGAATAGGTGCCGGTTTAGTGGAATAGGCCAGCCTCGTCGACTCACTGATTGAACATTAGTTACCAGGTAATAAATCATTAATAGCGAAGCGTGGTCTCGCGTGATCTTGTCGTGCAGTGTGAGCGTGTGGGAACGCGTGTGGTACTGTGTGTGCGTAAGCTCGCAGCGTGCGTAATCGGCGTACCCCAGGTGCGCGATCATAACGTAAGCGGCCAGCAGACGGCGAGCGCTGCGCAGAGCGGCGCAAGAGTGGGTATCGCGTGTGGAGCTGTATGCGTGTGTGCGCGCACGTTCACTACGTGTATAATACAGGTGCGCGATCCTAACGTGAGTGGTCTGTATTGAGTGAGTGCCGCGCAGAGCTGTGTGTGGGTGTGCGCGTACGTAATTAACCATGCCTATTACGCGGACCCGCGGGGAGGGGAATCCTCGAGCGACGGCTCTCACCCCATGGGTGAAGAACCCAACAGCGGTTCGCCTAGTAGCGAGGGGGCGAGTAATGAGGTTAATAATGAGGTTAACCCGGCCGTTAGCGGTACAGAGGGAGGGATCTCGGGGGCCAGCGACCCCCACAAATTGGTGTCGGAAGCGGTACGGACCCCCGCGTTACCTCACGCTAAAATAAGACTAATATTTACCGGCCGGGGGGCCCCTTCGTGGAAGGCATTTGCCCGCAATCTCTTAGGGGCCAAGGAAATTAATGGATGGACGGACGCGCAGGCAGTACGTCAACTTAATATGAATCTTGATGGGCGGGCAGCCGATTTTGTAGAAGCGTTACCCGCGAGCGCACAGACACAGCTAGAGGAGCTGATGCGCCGACTCGATCAGCGTTTTGGCACGCGTGACGAGGAGGAAGCAAAATCGGCCTTAGAGGCGCGCCGTCGCCAACCTGGCGAAGATCTACGTGATTACGCCGAGGATGTGCGCGAGTTAACAAAGATCGCACGCCCGGGGTACGCAACTGATGTTATTGAGGAACTGGCCGCCGAGAAAATCCAGCGGTACCTGTCTCGCACGGCGTGGTGGCAGCCAGACATGAGCTGCCCACGTCTTCCCTTTAACGCCCTTGTCGAGCGCGCACGTAAGTGTGAAAGAATTCACAGCGAACGCGCGCAGCTCCGGGGGCTGGGACGAGAGCGCGCCATTGCGAGCCTGCTCTCGGAAGACGAGGAGGAGGAACAAGAGCTCGCGAGGACGGTAAGGGGCCGGGAAAGAGAGCCTCCAGTGTCCCGCGAGACAACCCCGGGATGGGTTGCCGGTATACAATTGGGTATAAATGATGTCTCCGGCCAGGTAACCCAGGTAGGCGACAGGGTAACCCAGGTAGGTGACAGGGTAACCCAAGTAGACAACAAGGTAACCCAAGTACGGGCACACATGACTGCGCTGGAAACAATGGTAGAGACGGTCCAGGCCGAGGTAGGAGGATTAACTGGGAGAGTGGCTCGACTAGAGGCAGAGTCGGGGCAGCGGCGTGCCGGAGGGGGGATAGGGAACGGACGGGGGGGCTCCTACGGGACGGCCCCCCGTGCGTGTTACCTGTGTGACCGGCGAGGGCATCTCGTGAGAGACTGTCCGCAGATCGCCCGCGCTAGAAACGCGCCGGGGTTAAACCCCAACGCCCCCTAGAGAGTGGACCATCTGGGGGTGCATTCGAAGCGGTCCCGATGCAAAAAGACGGTAATAATGGCGAGCGAGTGATCTCCACACAGGTTCCAACAACAACGCCCACGGAAACGGTGACTCCTGGCGACTGGCTACGGGAGCTGGTGGCGGGGATCACGGGGGCCACGTCGCTGGTGGAAGGGGAGGTAAATGGAGTGCGTACCCGAATCCTGCTGGACACGGGGGCGGTGGCCTCGCTCGTGAGCGCAGCGCACTGCAGCGCGATCGGGGTCGACGTGCGTCACCTGCAGGCACCGGACCGCGCGCTGCACACGGCGAGCGGAGCCGGAATGGGGCTGCTGGGGAGAGCCACCCTAGAGGTCCGCATAGGCAGTCAGGTGTGCACCCAGGAGTTCTACGTGTCGAGTGCGTTGTGTCACGAGTGTATCGCAGGTACCGACCTCTTAGAACGGCTGAGACTCAACGTGCAACCCCGCCAGCGATGCGCCACCATGGAGAGCAACGGCGAGCGGATACCGTTCTTGGGACGAGAACCGACGCGCCCCCGCTTCGCACCTGTGGCCGCTATCCTGGCGACGGCAGTCACCATCGGCCCGCTCACCGAGATGCTGGTGCCGGTGGCAACATCCCCCACCGACCCCCGCGCTCCGACCATCAGGAGAGGTAATGCTAACTCCTCACCCGGAGTTGGCAAAACGGTATGGGATAGTGGGATCCGCCACGTTGGTAAACGCAGATGGAGACCGATTGTTTATGCGGATGTTTAACCCCCACAATACCCAGCGACACTGCGACGGCGAACCCCGGTAGCCACCGTACACCCCCTGCACGCACGCCACTCTAACGACTCGGTGTTCGCACTCTGGGCCGAAGACCCGGTCGTCCTGAGGGTGACCAGGACCTGGCTGGCGAGTCGGCCCGACTCCCCGAGCCGAGTCGTTCCCCTGCTCGACGCGTTACATGTACATGGGCGGATTTACCTGAGGGAGAGGGCGATCGGCTGCGCGAGTTACTGCGGGAGTATGCCGACGTATTCAGTGAACACGACTCGGACGTGGGTCGGACCAATCTTGTTAAGCAAATGACACCGGTGCAGCCCGACACCCATCAAACTCCCTGCGTACCGACGAGTGGGCGCAC